GGAGAACAGTATGGAGGTTCCCTAAAAAATTAAAAATAGGCTTCCCTGGTGGCGCAGTGGTTGAGAGTCCGCCTGCCGATGCAGGGGACACGGGTTCGTGCCGCGGTCCGGGAAGATCCCGCATGCCGCAGAGTGGCAGGCCCGTGAGCCATGGCCACTGAGCCTGCGCGTCCAGAGCCTGTGCTCCACAACGGGAGAGGCCACAACAGTGAGAGGCCCGCGTACCGCAAAAAAACCCAAAAAAACAAAAACCAGAAATAGAATTACCTTATAATCCAGCAATCCCACTACTGGGCATATACCCAGAGAAAACCATAATTCAAAAAGACACATGCACCCCAATGTTCATTGCAGCACTATTTACAATAGCCAGGTCATGGAAGCAAACTAAATGCCCATCGACAGACAAATAGATAAAGAAGATGTGGTACATATATACAATGGAATATTACTCTGCCATAAAAAGGAACGAAATTGGGTCATTTGTTGAGACGTGGATGGATCTAGAGACTGTCATACAGAGTGAAGTATGTGAGTAAGAGAAAAACAAATATCGTATATTAATGCACATATGTGGAACCTGGAAAAATGGTACAGATGAACCGGTTTGCAGGGCAGAAGTTGTGACACAGATGTAGAGAACAAGTGTGTGGACACTAAGGGGGGAAAGACACGGGTGTTGGTGTTGGTGTTGGTGTTGGTGGTGTGCTGAATTTGGCGACTGGGATTGACATGTATACACTGATGTGTATAAAATTGATGACTAATAAGAACATGCTGTATATTAAAAAAAGTTGCTTATTTCTAGAGATCAATAATTAGGTCACACTTTAAGCAACAAATATATTGTTTAATAAAAAATAGCTTTCAAACCAATTTTACTATAATTTATATGAGTGTATGTTGGAGTTTCTTCCCTTTCAGGATCTAAGAGAATACATGTAAATATTTAAGATTAGGAAGGTGTCATAGTAACTACTTTCCAGTAATAAACATGTCTTTCCTATTTAAAATTTAAACAATGTTTGAAGGGACCAGTAGCAACATCTTAATAAAGTGGTGTTTGTAGTAGCTGAGGAACAGCTAGAGTTGGATAAGCAGTGCTGGTTCTTAGGAGATTAGCAGAAAGTTTTCTTTGTAACATTCAGACTGTACTGGACAAAAGATAGTAAGATTTTCCAAACCTTTAAAGCCGTTCTTTTCTATGCTACATACTTCAAATGCTGACCATGGTAGCAGAGCCTGATTTGAGCCTAAAAAAAAACTTAATCATGAACCTTGATGGGAAAAGCCTACAATCATAAAATTCATCTTTGTCCTTGGGATTTTGCTGTCAGACTCAGCAGAGTTCAAACATTTACTGAAGACCAAAAGAGTCTTCATCCTTGGTAACCATGGGGGTTGTCATCTAACAAGTAGAATTGCTTGAGCAGCCCTTGAAAGGGGTTTCAGTCCCAGAGGATAAAGAGGCTCTTAAAAACACTCTGCCCAGAATTCATCATATTTACTTGAAACTTCTGTTAGTTCCAAGGATTATTAAGAGTGCTGTCAGAGATCTCCAAGGAGCTATAAAACACCTTGTGTAATATAGTATCTGTACCAGCTAAAATGGTTACAACTCTTAGAAGCTCACCTATTGGGTCTGAGAATGTTAGTTGAAGGTGTGGCTGTCTTTTATGCCAGAAACAAATAAAACGAGCCATGCTGTTTCCTCTCCCCATCCCACCCTATACTTTGCCTTTCAACTCTTACTCATCCTTCAGGTCTCTCTGCACCCTGCTCCTCACCCTGGGTTAGATGTCCCTACTTTCTGTTCTGTTAGCACTGTGTACTTCCCCTAGCACACATTTATTGACTGTATTGTGATTGCTTTTTAACTTGTTTGAATGTTCCACTAGGTTATAACCTCTGAGAGGGCCCCTACTGTATCCAGCTTATTCATTATTATGTCACCAGCAGCAGTGCTTAGCCCATAGTTGGGACTCCTAGACATTTGTTGGATGAATGTATGAATGAATAAATGCATAGAGCAGACCCTGAGTGGGTAGGAGTATTTCAGTGCCCAAGTAAAAATAATAAGACAAAGGTTTCCTTGTTAATGGATTGAATTGATGAAAGACCAGGGTTTGAAAAGTAAATGAAGGAATAAACCCAGAGTTTTAGGAAGAGAGGAAGACAACCATTGCTATATAGATTAAAGGAGCCTAACATAGGAACCTGTGAAGGTCTGGTAGTGAGGTTACCCGCTTGTGACTAGGGGTCTGGAGCATGATGTAGGCACGGTGTCTATGAATTTGATGTTTAGATAGAAGTGTGCTCTTATAAAGCAGGTTGATGCATGGATGTGGGTCACTATGGTAAAGACTCAATCTGTTATGAAAATTTAGAATACTCTGACAAAGGGGAAGGGGATGCTGCTTGCTCTTACTTGTATGTGACCATTTGTATTGATCCTTGAAATGTTTCTCACTTTTTCTGAATGCTGCCATTGTAGTGGGGAGTCATAAGATAGATAACTGGTGCTCTTTTGGTATCTTTATGTTTCCTGAAATGTTTATGTGTCTAGTTTTCTTTTACCCTCGTTTTCCTTTAGGTTTTCTCAACATGATTGGGTTCTAGCTGGGGAGAAAATGGATATAACTGGCATATACAAAATTTATCATTTAATATATATATTGTTTTTAAAATAGCTGTATTACTGAACTCTCCTTTTAATTCCAATATTTATTTCAATTGATTGTCTTGGATTTTTTTTCAGGTAGATATATTGTTATGTGAAAATAAGGATAATAGTTCCTTCTCTTTCCTAATATTTTACTTCTTTTTAATTCTAGTGTTTTTTGTTTTTGTTTTTTGCGGTACGCGAGCCTCTCACTGCTGTGGCCTCTCCCGTTGCGGAGCACAGGCTCCGGACGCGCAGGCTCAGTGGCCATGGCTCACGGGCCCAGCCGCTCCGCGGCATTTGGGATCTTCCCGGACCGGGGCACGAACCCGTGTCCCCTGCATCGGCAGGTGGACTCTCAACCACTGTGCCATCAGGGAAGCCCTCTAGTGGTCTTATTCAATTGCTTAGGACTACCAGAAGGATGTTCAAATACTAGTTGTGATGGTGAGCATTTTTGTCTCGCTTTTTATATTAATACAAATGTCCATAGTGTTTTTCTTTTAAGTATTACATTGCCAATTAATCTGACTACAGATATTCCATATCACATGAAAGAATACCCTTCTATTTCTAGGTCATAGATTTAAAAGTTTATCACTTGCTTTATAAGAAACATCTATTGAGGTACTCAGGTGGCTTTTCTCCTTTGACCTATTAATATGATGAATTATAGATTTCCTAATATTGGCCATAATTGCATTCATTCCTGGAATAAATCCTACTTTGTCATGGTGTATTATTCTTTTAATATCCTGACAGATTTGATTTTCTAATGTTTTATTAATGATAAATGTATTTATAGTTACAGTTGAGATTGCCTAGGAGACTGTGAATTTGCCTCACAGTTACTACTCCCTGGCCAATTCTTGCTTCCAACCCCTGCAGTTCTGAGCTGGGGTGGGGAGGCTGTTTATGACTTTTTCCTTGGGTTCTGGTCACTTTCTTCTCAGCTAGATTATGTTCTTATCCTTCCTTTATTTTGTCTTTGTCTATTGTCTTTGTAGTAGAATTTGCTTGAATCTTCTCTCCTGATTTCCTCTAATTTAGATTGCTTCTCTTTTTCCTTTCTTTCCTATTTTCCTCTGGATTTTATTCATCAGACACTGGGAAAGTGAGGGGTAGGCAAAACACATTTTATTAATCCAAAAGCCCCGATCTTGTGCTTCAAATCTCAGAGCAATATACAAAACAAAATTACACAGTATTTTCATTCAATTCACATTTGAGACTGTAGCATTTCTAAAAATCTGGTATTAGCTTTCAAAATTTCATAATAGTAAAGTGTCTGCCTCAGGGAGGGGACAGTTTCACTCAACTGCTTCCCTAGGAGTTGGGAGTGTCTCAACGGTTGGCTCAGGATTGAAGCTGAGGATGTTGGCGTTACAAATCTTGTACGCTAAGCCTTGTGCCTTGAGGAGTATCTTTAATTGTGAAGGCTTTTGTGTAGGTGCAATAGAACATTTGGTTAACTCTGGTAATTGGAATAAGATGCATACTTTTGCTTAAGACCAATAGACTTTTTTGCTTTAACTGTGCTTTGGGAGACACATTCTGAATCTTGTGTATATTTGCCATTAAGCCCTGCGATATCTGGAAGAACATATAAGCACAGTCCTCAAAAAAACCACTCTCACACCGGCAGCCAATTGCAAACACCAAGGGTGTACAGAGGTTGTGCTAAACAGCACTTTGCCCATCTGTGTGGTTCACCTGGGGGATGGTCCATACAGTGGATGCTGCACTCGAGAGTCCTTTCTCAGCAGGGTCTTTCTCCCTTTTCCTTTTCTTTCTCCAAATCCTCCACTGGGGTCATACTTTCTTCAGCTGGTGCTCCTTGTAGTCAAGGTCAGAAACTTTAATTCTAAATTCCATCCTGGGAAAAGATTGAGGCTCTTCCTGACTCAGGAATTTGAGGTTCTTTGGGGTAGACCATAATTTTGACAAACAAACCCTTCTCTGGTCAAGACTGATTCTTTTTCGGTGATGCAAATCTGTTGTTTAGCCAAAAAAAGATCCCCTCTCCACCAGAAGTGAATATCTGGAGGGATGAAGGATACAGAGGCCCTTCCTGTCACATGTTTTAAGTAGTATGAGCCATTTTGACAGCGATTTTACAGAGCGTGGCTAGGCTGACTAAATGGATGTTTCACCCATGGGTCTTTGAGCCCAGGGTGTTGAATTTGTTTTTGCAGATCCAGTAGTGGGTAAGCAGTCTGGGCAAGAGTTCCAGGGCTATGGTCTCTCCAAGCCTCTGTGTCCCTGAATGACCTTAGGCAAATGCATTAACTTCTCCCTCTGTAAAAGAAAGGTGATTGTGCTGTCTCCTCCATTCTAGAGCTGATGGGAAGAAGAATGTGAATGTGACAGTAAAAACCTCTGAGCTTTCCTGAGAAGGGTGCCACGTAATCACAAGGTGTTACTATCACCATTTCTGTTAGGTGAGTTGAGATTGTATGGCTGGAACTAAATCAGTTGCACTTGCCTGTCTTTATCTGCATCTTTAATGCTTCTGGTCTCCCACACAGCCTATAAGCACATAAATATTATTTTCCTAGTCAGGCTGCCTTCCAAGGAGCCAGGGCTGACTCTCACCTTATACCCTCGAGCCTGGTCTCTTTGGTTGGGTATATAGTGAAGTGGATTTTTTTGTTGGCCAGATAGCCCCTGTCTCACTGCTGTTGAGCAGGGTGACCTTGGACCTTTACTAAACCTCTCTAAGGCTCTGTGTCTTCACCAGTAAAATTGGGTGACTTAAAACTATTTTATGGATTAAATGAGATTAGTTCTCTAAAACTCCTGGCAAACAGAAGATGCTCAATAAACGTAAGTGTTTTGAAATTTTATTTTCTTTTATTCTCTCCCATTTTGGCCCTGACATTAATGTGACATGTGCACTGCCATCCCAGCATCTTGTTTTGGGTAGCAGTAGATACTTTGTGTGCTTTGAGATATGACATCATTATTTCTGAAAGACTTCATTTTGAACCATGTGTCTTCATTCTCAATGTCTTCAAAGCAATTTAAACAAACCAAATGTATAAAAGCATTTACTTTGTGACATTTATTTTCTATAGCTTGTGAGCCCTGACATGCTCTTAATAGAAAGTGAAAGCTGCAAAAGCTGTTCTGGCTGTTAGGAGGTGCTATTTAAAGCCTTAGTGGGCCAGAAACGACCATTTTGAAATTGACTCTGGAGTGTGACGATGCCAAGTACTAGCAGACGCTCAGGAAACCTGTCACATTTGCCATGTGTTACCAGAAATCTCAAGAGTCTACAGAGGTTTTAGAAGAATTTTTGTCTTACGAAGCTTTTGCCATCTTAATCTCTAGATTTCCCTTTTGCTGTGGATGGAACATGCTGCAGCAAAGGAATCTCAGGCTGCAAACCGGGGTCTGTGGATAGGGAGGGTGTCCCCCATGCAGAGATATTTGTAGGCTTCCAGCTGAGCTTAGCTACATGACAGCTTTATGCCTGGGAATTAGTGATTTCATTGAAAAGTGGCTATTTCTGCTGCACCCAGTTGTTTTACAGTGGTTTAGAGGTCTGCTCTGCCTCTGACTGGCTAGGTGACCTTGTAGGGTTATTTAGCCCAGGAGTCTCAATTTCACTGTCTATAAAATTGTGATAGTGGTACCAACCTTGTGGTATTTTTATACAAATTTGTTGTAATGTATACAAAGCTCCTACATTGGTATTTGACATTATAGATGGAGTGTCAATATATTTTAGCTATTATTTTTAATAAAACCAATGAAAAATAATCATTGTGGTAGGCTGAATAATGACCTTACAGAGATATCCTCATCCTTGGAACCTGTGAATATGTTACCTTTCATGGCAAAAAGGACTTTGCAAATATGATTAAGGACCTTGAGATGAGGAGTTTATCCTGGGTCATCTGGGTGGGTCTAATCTAATCACTTGAACCCTTAAAAGGAACATTTTCCTTTTGTGGTCAGAGAAAAAGACGTGACAGCATAAGCAGGGTCAGCAACATGCTACATTGCTGGATTTCAAGATGAAGAAAGGAGGCCACAAGCCAAGGAATGCAAGCAGCCTCTAGAAGCTAGAAAAGGCAAGGAAACAGATTCTCCCCTAGAGACTGTAGAAGGAACCAGCCCTCCCAACACCTAACTTCAGTCCAGTGAGACCCATGTCAGACTTCTCACCTATAGAACTGTGAGAGAATAAGTTTGTGTAGCTTTAAGCCACTAAGTTTGTGATAATTTCTTATATAGCAATGATGGAACACTAACACATAATTGAAGAGAATGTCAAGGACTTGTGCAACTGTAGAAAGGATGAGGCCCATGATGCTCTGTATTTGGATAAGCTATTAGGGTATATGTGCTAAATTCTAGTCTCCTTGAAATCCTATCAACTTCTCTTCTGGGCAGGAGACATGGCTTGCTTCACAAGAATTGAAGTGTTTTGTTATACCCCAAAAGATCTGAATCTAGTCTGAAAAAGTTGCATTAATTATATTTGAATTTTGGAACTACTGTAATTGCACAAATGCCTTGTTTCCTCTGAATAAACAGCAAAAGAGTTTTGCTATACCTTATTCTGTGGAGGGAAGAACTTAGAAGTCAAAGTCAGAAGATATGGGTCTGAGTCCCGCTATCCTGAAAAACAAATCATGTAACCTCCAAAATGGATCTGTAGAATAGAGATGATAATACTTGGTTTATTTACATGTCGTGTGGGTCAAGGAGATAATGTGAGTAAAGAGGCATTGAGAACTGGCCCGCTATACAAATTTCAGGCGTAATTATCATTATATTTGTTGTTGTTATCATCACGTGACAGAATCATGGAATGTTAGATCAAGAAAAGGCGCTAGAGATCATTTAGTCTACTAGCCTTGGAACTTGGGTCAGGAGAGGCTAAATAACTTGCAAATGTTCTCTTGGCTCCCTAATGTCCAGCCTCTGACATGGCCCGGATAATCACATGTAGATGGGCCAGGCTGGGAACTTTATCTCATTTGAGTGATACAGGCCAGAGTGGGAAAGGATACAGCTGTAAGAATTGAGAGGCAGAGGGATCCGGTCATAAGAACTGGTGATGAATTGGGAGGGATTGGCAATGGGAGAGGATATCGAGGTGGGCCCTGGGAATTTGGGGAAGTAACAGGGTGGCGTGGGGTGAAGTGGCACCATGCTGAGCTGGTGGTCAGAGATGGCCTTATAGTTAATGAAAGTAGGAATGTAACTTCAAGCTTCTGACTAAAGTCTTGTGTTCTTTCCACTATACGTATTGGTTTTGGTCGGGGGGAGGAGAGGAAACTGCCTTGGGTCTTTGTGTGTGATTCATCGTCCGACTTTTGGAAGGAACCCAAGATGGACTTACTTTGAATTCTGCTCAAAGACTAAGATATTGCAATCAGGTCCATTCAGACCACTGAACAGTCTCCTTCACTATGTGATAGGCTCACATTCCCAGAACTTGGATCTGTAATTATTGGTCCCGAAAGTTTAATATTCAGACTCATCATGGGTAGTCAGGTAAAACAAAACAAAACAAAATAGAACTCTTTATAAGGCAATAGCAATTCTAAATTCTTCTCTGGCTCCCAAGGTCTCCTGAATGTACACATACTCAACCAAACACATACTTACACACATCATACATGTGGACACAGCAGTCATACCGTACTCACACACACAACTCACACCACACTCATTGCACATGTACACACACTCACACTCAAATACACACACATACCACACATGAATACACATTGTTAAAGAGAATTATACTACCACTGGTTTCAGGATCTTTTGTATATTTTGTTTCCAAAGTAATATACTGAATTTTTTCCCACTATGTGCTATATAGAAGTGTGACCTATATACAATATATTTTCTTGGATTGTATTAAGTGACCATTTGCAAACAAAGAATGGATTGGAAGTGGAAGAATGAATTGACTACCCCTAGATTCTAATCTAACAGTAACAGTTCTTTATGGTTTTATATGGAGGTAGAATTCAGAGAGCTTTCATATTCTCCAGCGCATTGTATCCCCCAACAATCTTGTGAAAGAGTCAGGGAGGTGTCTTTATTCCTGTCCCACAGATAGCACTCAGAAAGGTGGCCTGAATTGACCAAGGTCAGAGTTGGGTCTAGAAGAAAGGACAGGTGGCCACTTTTCTGTAACCATGAAGCTGTTTCCCTCATCTAGTTGCTGAAGAACCACAGCAATAAAGAAATTTTAAATGAGGTTTAAAATTGATTTTAAAATATAGATTATTTAAAGATTTTCCCAATCTAAGTGTTAAACATGTTTGCTATGCAAAATTTCAAAAACTTAGAAAAACGGAGGGAGAAAATTACATTTAGAGATGACTATTGTTAAGATTTTTGGTATATTTCTTTTTCTTTTTTTTTGTCTCTGCTGCATGGCCTGCAGGATTTTAGCTCCCCAACCAGGGATTGAACCCAAGCCCTCAGCAGTAAAAGCTCAGAGTCCTAACCATTGGACCACCAGGGAATTCCCGTGGTGTATTTCTTTTAACATATTTTCTATTCAATAATCTTCTTTGTCATTTGATTTGTTTACTTAGCAGGGTAAGACTGAGTTATAACCTTTCTTATTTTTTTCATAAAACACTTGTCATATATTTTCTTGTATGTATCTTACAATCATATGAGATATATATATATATCTTATATATGTATCTTATATAATAATTGCGAAGTACTCCATCAAGGGGCTGTACCATAGTTTATTTAGCAATCTCTGTCTTAGGATCTAGTTTGTTTCCAATTTTTGGCATTTCCACATTTGATTTAATTTTTCAGGGTAGATATCAAGAATTCGGATTATCAGGCTAAAACAAATTGGATATATATTTGCCAAATTACTTTCTAAAAGTGTTATGCCAATCTATCTTTTGTATTACAGAAATGAAATGAACTTAAGATGGAGTACTGTTCTTAAAAGACTTCCAGGCACAGGTAATTTCTAACTGGCCGCCTTGCCCACAGGAGCCAGCATCTGGCTGTGTTGTTCAGCTCCGTCGCTCCCTTCTTCAATCCCATTTCCAACCTTTCACTACTCACCCCATCTCAACATTCCATTCATTTCTGAGGCACAACAGTTTGGTTTTGCTTTTTCCTTACATTATAAGCTCTCAGGAACCTCATCTTTCCCTCAGGACCTCATCTTTGTCATCTAAAATGGCTTATCAAAGTATTTTTCTAAACAAAGTTAGCTCCCTCCCTACAAAAGTCTCTGGAGTCAGCTGTAAAGATAAATTTTAAAAATTGAAGTATAGTTGATTTACAATATTATATTACTTTCGGGTGTACAACATAGTGATTCATTATTTTTATAGATTATAAGCCATTTAAAGTTATAATAAAATATTGGCTATATCCCCTGTGCTGTACAGTATATCCTTGTAGCTTATTTATTTTATACATAGTAGTTTGTAACCCATAATTCCCTACCCCTATCTTGCTCCTCCCTGCTTCCCTCTCCCCACTGGTAACCACTGGTTGTTCTGTATATCTGTTGTGTTATATTCATTCATTTGTTTTATTTTTTAGATTCCATGTATAAGTGAAAACATACAGTATTTGTTTTTCTCTCTCTGACTTATTTCACTAAACGTAATACCCTCAATTTCCATTCATGTTGTTGTAAATGGCAAAATTTCATTCTTTTTATGGCTGAATAATATTCCATTGTGTATATATACCACATCTTCTTTATCCATTTAATGGACACTTAGGTTGCTTCCATATATTGGCTATTTGTGAACAGTGCTGCTGTGAACATTGGGGTGCATGTATATTTTCAAATTAGTGTTTTCGTGTTCTTCGAATATATACCCAGCAGTGGAATTGCTGGATCATATGGTAGTTCTATTTTTAGTTTTTTGAGGAACCTCCGTACTGTTTTCCATAGTGGCTGCACCAATTTGCATTCCAACCAACAGTGTAGGAGGGTTCCCTTTTCTCCACATCCTCTCCAACATATGTTGTATATAGACTTTTTGATGATAGCCATTCTGACAGGTATGAGGTGATCTCATTGTGGTTTTGATTTGCATTTCTCTGGTGATTAGCAATATTGAGTATGTTTTCATGTACCTGTTTGCCATCTGTTTATCTCTGGAAAAATGTCAAATCAGGTCTTCTGCCCATTTTTTAATCAGCTTGTTTGTTTTTTTGATATAATGTTTTCAACACTCTATTTCACTTGTCAGTGCTTGAAAAACATCTATTTATTTCTTTGAAAAACATCTGTTTATTTGTTTGTTTGCTTATTTAGGCTGATGGATTTCAGGATCTCAATAAGGATGAACTTTGTAGTTATAACAGGTGTCCTAAGGAGAGAGTGGCTTGTAGGAAGTGACGAGTTCCCTGCTATGGGAGATGTCCAAGCAGAGGCTAATGATCACTTGTCAGGACAATTGTAAATGAAATTCAAGCAACAGCTGACCATCGGGTTAGAATAGATGACCTTGAAGACCTCTGTAATCTTGGGATTCTGTGAATCCACAATTTTCACCTTCTCTAAATATTAAAACACTTATTTATTAATGATCCATTTTAAGGCCTCTCCCTTTAATAACAGCAAGCATAAATTGTTGAGCTAATGGGTCAAACACCTATGTCATGTTGCTTCCTCACCTGTGATTCAATGTGATTAGCTCCCTCTGGCAAGGTTCCTCTCAGTGGAATCCTTTTTTAGGTAATTTTTCTGCCTCTGAGACATTTCAGCCCTTTCACTATTTTAGGAAAAGAGTGATATGGCTGACACAAAGGCCGTAACACCTTGCCAAGAGGAATTCTCCATGAATGGAATAAATTAAGAGAGAAAGCCTGTGAAATGCGTGTCAGTGCAGCTGTTCTGACTTCCCCAAATTCAACACAGCTTGAGGTTGAGGATTCCTGATACTCAGGGCCAGATGATGCTTTTCATATCTGGAGTTAGTTATATCAGAAGAGCGCTGATACCTCAAGTAGCCTGGGCTTGGAGATGCTGGTGTGGTCGCCAGCCCTTGTCCACCAGCAAGTCACCTTTCATTTCAACGTCATGTTGCTGTTCAGAGTGGCTAAGGAGCACATTACCCTCACTTGAGGTAATTATTCTACTTTGCTAAGAAACAATCTCCTAGGCCACTTTCATAATAAGCCAAATGTTAAATATTGCAAAGAACTCTGAGTGATGTAAGTACTGAGATTTAAAATGTACCAAAAGGTTTAAGAGTGAATATACATTTTATCCCAACAACTTCATTTCTTTGTAAGGAAATAATGAGAGATATGTTCAAGCATGTCCAATTGCAACACTTTATAGTATCCATATCTGGAACTTTCCTAAATGTCCTCGAATATGTTAAATGAGGTACATCCTCATTTACTATTCAGAATCGTGAATAGTGTTGTAGGAAAAGATTTAGAGGTATGGAGATGTTTATGATACATTACTTAGTAAAAGAACCAGGTTAACAAATAATCGACTTCTTTCTTTTTGTTAAAAATATATATGTATTAAAAAAATTTACTTATTTGTTTATTTATTTTGGCTGTGCCAGGTCTTAGTTGCGGCACGAGAGATCTTCGTTGTGGCACGCACGCAGAATCTTTTAGGTGCAGCATGCGGACGTCTTAGTGCGGCATGCATGCAGGACCTTTCCCCAACCGGGGATGGGACCTGGGCCCCCTGCATTGGGAGCACAGAGCCTTACCCACTGAACCACCAGGGAAGTCCCCCAAAATATATATGTATTTTTAAAGAGTGTGTTTGATACAGATATAATAATAATAGTTAATATTTACTGAGTGCATACTGTATGTCAGGCACTGTCCAAATTACTTTACATGTATTAACTTATTTAATCCTTAACAAAATTCTGTGAGGTACTATTATTCCCTCTGTTAACTAACTGCCTTGAAGGGACTGAACATTGTGATAATGATAATAATAACAGTAATAGTCACAACAACAATAGCTAACACATATAATATAGTGTTTTCTATATGCCAGACAGTGTTCTAAATACCTTACATATGCTAACTTGTCTAGTCTTTACTGTAACCCTCTGAGGATGACTGTGGTAGGCTGAAAAATGGCCCCCAAAGATGTCTGTGTCCTAATCTCTGGAGCCTGTGAATATGGCACCTTACACCATCAAAGGGACTTTGCAGAAGTGATTAGATGAAGGACCTTGAGATGAGGAGATCATCCTGGATTATCTGGGAAGGCCCAACATAATCACATAGGTCCTTAAAAAGATAAAACCTTTCCCTGCTGTGGTCAGAGAAAAATATGTGAAGACAGAAGCAGGGTCAGAGAGAGATTATGCTACTGGCTTTGAAGATGTGGGGAGGGGAGCCATGAGCCAAGGGAATGCAAGGAGCTTCTAGAAGCTGACAAAGGCAAGGAAATTGATTCTCCCCTACATCTCCAGAGGCTCTAACCCTGCCTACCTCTTGATTTTAGTTCGGTGAGACCCACTTCAGACTTCTGACTTCCAGAATTGTAATATCATAAATTTGTGTTGTTTCAAGCCGTTAAGTTTGTAATAATTCATTACAGCAGCAGTAGGAAACTAATACAGAGGATGACTGCCATGTTAATAGATGAGGAGACGAAGACTTGGCAAGGGGAAGAAGCTTGCCGAGGTTTGCACAGTAATAGCTGGGAGCCCAGCACAGCTAATCTGATTCCAGAGCCCATGCTTCTCACCACTCTGCTGTACTGCCTATGAGAAAAGGAGGCCTGGCAGTGACTGTCCCCACCGCCTATGCTGATGTGAGAAAATGGAACTTGGTGAGCTACTGGTAAACAGTGGCTCAAAAGGGAAATAAACACTCATATAAGCTCCTCGATCTTTGTCATACCAAGTTTTAAACTCTTAAACTCTGCTGAGAACTTTGAGCCTGTGTTAAAAGTTGATCATCCTGACACTTTTGAACTTAAATTCCTATTTGCTTATTCTGCCAATGGGTATTTTTTAGTCATCCCTTTAAATTTTATAATCTCTTTATGGTTTACAAAACACATTAGTCTTTGTTACTTATTTAATTCTCATAATAATCCTGTGCGGTAGATAAAGTAGATGGCTCTGAAGCTCAGAAAGTTTATTTTGCACCAAAGCCAAACAACCAATAAGGGTCAAAGCAGGAATTCTGGAGAATTCATCAGAGCACATTTTTACCCCTGCCTTGCTATGTTCAGACCTCACATTCATCAAAATATTTTAATGGACTAGAAAGACTTCTTCACATTGTTACTAGCTGAATCTATTCTGAATCATCAATTTACTAACGTTCTCAGGTTAGTAAAGATCCTAATCTGTCCACTGAAGAGTTATGGCTCACACCCAATTACCACTTTCCTTAGCATTTTTATCATTTTCTACAAAATGGGAAAGACTCTCCTTTGCCCCTTTTGTTAAAACAGAGAATATCTTGTTCCTTTATTCTTGTCACTCCTATTATTTCAGAGGCTGAGAATAGGCTGACTGCAGGAGATTATATAGACTTGCTCTTTTATGTCTGTTTGAAGGAGAGTGAGAAATGGAAGTAGAAAAAACTTATGTAGTATTATTTTGTTACTTCTTTTTTATGTGCCTTGCATGTCCAGTTGCCTATGCCGTTTCCACTTGGATAGCTCATAGGATTTTCACATTCAATGTGTGCAAAACTCTGCTTATCTCCCTTATCCCCGAACCCAACCCAAAGCCTGCTCCCTCTTCAGTGGTCCTGAATTCAGAAAATACCACCACTGTTCACCACCCAGAAAACTAGCAATCATCCTTGACACTGTTTTCTCTCTCAAACCTCTCATTACCAAATTCTATTGAGTATATCTCTTAAATAAATCTCAAATTTGTCACATTTACCCACATTTACTGCTACAACAACCACCTAAGAGATAACTCCGTAAAGAATCTTTTGGTAGCACGTAATAGAAAACAGCCTAAACAGTAAAGGACTTT